TTTCGATAAAATAAATTTTTTTCTTGAAATATGGTTTATTGATATAAAATAAAAATGGAAAGAGGAAGAAACACTTCGTTGATTTAAGAATTCAAAATGATATGTTTTCTTCTTATTGAATGCCAACGAACGAGAAAGAGTGAACGAGAGAAAGACAGGCTTTTGTGATTTCCATCGGAAACTGGGAAGAGAGCAAACCCTTCATCACATATATACATCAGCGACAGTTTTCATACTGAGAATGATAATTCAGGTCATAATCAGCAAATACCCATAGAAATCCTGGAAATATCTTAGTCTGTATGAAAAAGATATTTATTTACATCAAATAACCATTCACATAAAAACGACATAAAAACTACCGTTCAAACCCTTTGAACTAACCACCAGTTAACACATTGAACGTTCTGCTTGTAAAAACAAAAGGCATATGAACGGCACTTTAATCACGTCAAAATCATCTTTTGAATGAACTTTGAGGTTCTATTGTAAGGGCAGACTTCGAGTAGGAAGGAGAGAAGTGANAGTAATAAGTTAATTAGTAGTGAAGATATACATAATATCACTTATTGTTCTCTTTAGACCATAACAAGTGTTTGAGTGAGTGAACGTCTTTTTCCAGATTGAAGATCTTCTGCATTCGCGAGGCGGAATTATCCTTATCATCTACCTTGTTTTTATTTTTTCCTGAAACTAAGACTTTCGAAAACGTTTTCTAACGAGACAGACCTGTGGTTAGTTCAGCTTGACAAGAGAATTTGAAATGGAAATAGTCTTTCAGACTAGTTGCAAAGTCCATCGAAAAGTTAAAGCTTCTGTAACAATAGATTTCTAAGATGTTTCAACTGGTGCATACCTTGGACGTAAACTACTTAAACAGAAGTTTTTCACAGTATTAAAATGAGCAATTTGTGTTGACGGATAATAATATGTTATAATCTTGTTAATATAACCAGTGTCGGATTTTTCGTCAGTCATATCTTATATGTATTTCGAGCCTCTATCTTGACTTCTCTCCTGACGATATGAGGTAAAGCTGGAAGAGAGTAGACGTTACATATGAACAAATAAAAACAAAAGTAATATATCGATCAAACTTGCATTTATCGTAGTTCGCACTACGTACACAAATTATTACTATATCTCAAGTACAGTAATCATTTTCATTGCGACAGGTCATGACCTGAGCCGTGAGATAAAAAAAACTCTCTTTATCTGCCCTGTTTTCTCACAAAAACATGGAATGTGATGAAATATTTCCCCGCGTCTTGAGTTATTTGAATCTTTACTTGTTTTCTCGAAATTATATCTATAAATGATAACAAACAACTAAAGATGATGTTAAAAGAGAAAGCACAGTGGTAATCAACCGCTCCTTGGAGATTGGCAAGCTAAATGAATCATCTCATCTTATTGCTGTTCACGTGATATACCTTGTTAAAAATTAGCATAAAGAAGCAAGTATTAGTCAGTGTCCGAAAGGTTCATAAAACTTTTCGATTGGTCTCTAGATAGTTTTAGCAAAGCAAAAATATATATAAATATATATATTATAATTAGAATGATGACTAGAAACAATGTAAATACATAGATCGCTTATCGATAGTTTGCCTTATCAGCCTCGCTGGTTATATCATATGCTAGGGCCTCTAAAATAGTCTTGCCATTCATAGTTGAGATAATTCCCTTATCACATGATCTTGTGAGTATTGTGCTTTCTTTCTTTCTTTTTTTTTGATTTTCCTTTAATGAACATGATGTTAATACCTCATGAAGATCTTTATTCAATCTATAATCAACTCGAACTCAGTGTGATGTTCATTCAGCAGCTTCATCTGATTCAGATGAGTCTTTGTTTTTGTTCTTCTTGTTCTTGTTCTTTTTGTTCTTATTTTTCTTGTTTTTCTTATCCTTCTTGTCTTGGTTCTGATCAGTTTCCTCTTCTTCTACAGCTAACTTGAACATATCGTCGGTTGCTTCCACAGCTGCTGCCATTGGTGAAGATTCCTTTACTGATAATGGGAGAATTTGAATTTGAGCTCTCTTCAAGAATACATAATGAAGAAGAATTATTCCTAAACCTACGTCACTATTTATTGCTGGGCGAACCATTCTGTCATCATTTGAAGGGAAGCCAAACTAAGAAATAATATGATTGTTTTAGTTGATAAAATGAGATTTTACTTGTGCTTGCTGAAGGGCAGCAGTGGTATTTCTATGAACTTGAGCCAAGATCATGGTGAAGATCTACGTATGATCATTAGGACAATATTCGAATTTCTAACTCACATGGCTGCTATCAGGGTGTTCAGCCATGATATTAGCTTGTGCTTTCATGAGATCAACTAAAGTCTGATCCTTATTGGCAACCAATGTCTTGAATTTTTCTTTGAGTGCTGCTAAGTCACCAATTATTCTAAAACCCTCAAATTTTGAATCATACTGGGAGAATGTAAGAAGGAACATTTTCTCTATTTAACTTTATTATTTCCGCGATTGGAAAATTTGCTAATCCTTAAATACAAAGGTTTCTTTGTATTTAAAATTTAAGTAAATATCGGCAAATCTCATATGACTCATTCGTATTTTCAAGGTTGTTTTGTTTGTTAAGAAGTAAACTCATTTCCTATTTACCTGTCAAGGTGATCTGATTGAGTTTGAGCGATTTCCAAAACCTTACCAGTCATCTCATTGATCTTTTCCTGAAACATTATGTTTGCAACTCAAAAAAAAGAGATCGTAATGAGTTCGTACAGTCTGTCCACACTCAACGCCCCATGCAGTAACTTTTTGTTCCATTTCGTTAATTTTGGTGGTCATAACATTGGAATTGATAGTATTGAAGGACTCCCTGACATATTCAATACGTGAATGGTTTTGCTATCTGCAAACGTACAAGCAACTGTCACTCAGATTTCCGAAAATTTTGTTCAAAACGGACTCAGCGTGTTTGGTCATGAGATTCTTCATTTCTCCACTCTCATGTAACTTCTGAAATCAAAGAGTTCGTTAGAGTGATAGTCTACTTGCCTTGATATGGTCAATGAATTCAGATGCATTCCTGTTCAAGAATTGATGCGAATCCAAATTCTTCAATGAGACGGCGATATCCTTCAAGTTTGATGTGTTGTTCAAGAAAGATTCTTTTGTGGATTGCATAATATTCTTCAAGTTAGCAACTGTTTCATTGGTCTGGTTGGCTCTTCTCTCCAGCAAATCACGAACGTTTTGAACAATTTTTTTCGTATGATCGTCATTTTGACCAAGATATACGGGCTCTACTTTGGTTACACCCTCTTTGAAGAAGGATGTTAAATTCTCAAAAGGTGCAATTTTGGCATTCATTGTATTCGATAGAGACGATAAATGATTTTGTAATTGACTAGCGTGATCTGAGTTTTGAATTCGGCTGAAAAGAGTTTACATGGTAGATAAGCTAGTACATTAGTACCTGAAGAGTTGGTTGAAATCACATTGTACCTGAAGGACAAGAAGAGACAAAATAACAAACTTCATTGTCTAAAATGGAAATATGAGTAAGACAAATATGGAAATGATGATAAAAAAAAGAATTGTTAACCGTTTCAGTTTGAAAACGCGGTAAACTCTTCAGGCAGCACATATCCTTTTATAGTCATGTTCATGGGATTAAACCCTTTATCCTTTTTTCCATTTAATTATATTAAATCTTTCGAATTATACATAAAAATGATTTCCTCCTTGCCAAATGTCATTTGTTGTATGCAAAAGGAAAACGTTTAATATTTATTTTTTTCGCCAAGGACAATAGAGAGGTAAGCACAAGCGAGCACTGTAGATACCTGTTAGTACTCCTTATGTAACAGAGATAAATTAGAAGTTGGTAGCAAACAACTGTTCTGGCAATCAGCACAACTCTAATCCTTCTAAATCCAATGCTGATCATCCATATTTGGTGTCGAGTATGACTGTACTCAAAAAATGGAATTAATAGTGAAAAGGAAATGATCATTTTTGGCAATTATTGTATGAATTTTGAAGTTTTCGATATTTTCCGAAAATAGACATCGATGATTAAATGCTTGCTATTGCATTCATATTTTCATTCTATGATCTGACTAACTCTATACAAATCACGTCATTTATTTTCTTTCCACCCTGTCATCTCATCACTAAGAGTTCCATTCTAATGATAACACATCTGAAACATCAACTCAATGAAAGATCAACATCAGCTTGGCTGAGACAACATGAAGTAGATGCTTCAAAGGTTGGATTCAAATGTGTTTTCACTGGTTACCTTAGAATTTGTTTAGTTCCTCTGGTACTCACGTCATCCCAGCTTATAAACAATTTTATTAAAATATTTTCTTTTGAATTCGTCGGAAATGAGGCAATCAAAGGTAAATGTTTGTTCAGCCGTCAATGGAAATAGCATCAGTGAACTTTTCACTTTATGGATATTTGT